GGTTGCTAGGCGTAGTAAGGAGGGAGAATTAATAGGTGGAGCACAGAGTTTTCATAGGGTAATGAAACTGTTCTTTATAATAGCACAATAGCGAATATATGCCATTATATATCTGCCTAAATTCACAGAATGCACAACAAAATTGAATATTAATACCTATTAAGGATTATGAGTGATGGGATTTTCATCCGTTCCAAAAGTGCACCACTCTGTGAGCCACGCTTAGAGTAAAAACAGTTGTACAACTGTTTCCTGGGATTGGGGGTTACATGAAAACTTCAAGTGTTTTGTTCATTATCACTCTACTTCACCCTCTCACTAATTATTTAATAGAAGTGTCCATAATGATTCAGTACATTCCACCCAATTCAGGATAAGAGGCCATGAGAACAAATTATGTTCTGAAAGGTTTTCATATAGTAGAGAATACTTTGATTAAGTAAGGTAAACTCTTCAATACAACTGGGCATAACTGCTTTCCCAAAGTAGAAATGGGTGTTTTTCCTTTATCTTGAATGCTTGCTGAACTTTAAAAATGAGAGAGTTAATACTGCTATGAAGCCAGAGCTCATCATGAGTAAAGTTTGGATAACATCATGACATGATTATTGAGAATTCCAAAGAACATAGAGACTAGGTTTGGACTTTTTAGACTCTAAAGGGAAAGTAACTGGCTGGAGTCTCTCAGAAAATAAGGAAAGAAGAGAGCAATAGCAAAGATGTGTGCTTCCAGGTTTGTAGAGAGCAAGGATGCATAACTTCCTGACTTACACACCATAGTGGTATGTTGCAACATCTTGCACAGATTCTGCCATGCAGTCTGACTTCCAGATCTAAGGACTCTACTGGAAAGAATGGAGGCATAGTCGTACATGGAAGAAGATGGAGATGACATTTTGGAGAAGAATGGTACATTACAAACCTCTAGAAGAAAAGGCTTTAAAATTTATGAAAGCACTTCATGTGTTGGACATTTAAATACTCATAAAATACTCTCTGAACACTATGTTAAATAAACCCTACAGAATAAATATTTAATCCATTCTTGCCAATGTAATCTCTTCTGTTCCCTAAGCATGAAGAAGCCAGAGGAACATGTCCAGTCTTGGATTAGTAGAATCTGAGTAAATTAAGTAAAATATCTAATTCTGTTTTTACTTAAATAAGAGAGTTGTGAGAAAAACATTTTATTAAAGCAATAAATATGTGTTTAAGAAAGAATAATGAAGTTAATTTCTTATTTCAACATTTGTACAATGGTGGAAACGAAGAAAAATAAATGTCACAAGAAGTTCTGTGACGGTCTCTCTAGGAATTTTAGTAGAGACTTTAAATAAATTATATCTATAGTGAGAAATAAAACTTATATTGATATATCGTCTAAATTGTACAATTCAAATTATGTAATTATAATTATATATTAATAATTGGACATTAATGAAACATGCATTACATTAACTCTGTTATATCATGCATTACATTAACCTTATGTTTTATGTTATATAAATTATATAGTTATAAGAAATTATATTTATTATTAAAATATAATATATTAGAAATTATTATTAGAGGAAAATTTGGACATTAATATTATTCCCTGTATTGGGGTTTATTTAGATTTTCTTCCAATGAGCTTATGCTAAATTTAACCACATGCCAAACAGGTGTGATACCCGAAATAGCTATTCAATGTCCTTGACAGAAACTAAATCAATACATTGACTGGCAATTTGCAGAACACAGCATGAACCCAGAAAATGGGAGGGCTTCAAGCCAGGAAGCAGGGATAAGCAATAAGATAGGAATTTCAAATTCAAGAAGAAACTCAGAGTACTACTTAATTTAATCAAGATTTAGAATTCATACTGTGGTTAATATCTTAAACATTTTTAGTGATTTAGCCTTGTTTTCCTAGAAATTATCTTTACAATATGCGTTTTTCCTCAAATCTAAGTTTCATCATTGATTAAACATCTTATTACCCCCCTTATAAAATAATGATTCAGAAATACAGTTGTGTCATGGGTAAATATAAATCTAAGGAGTTTCAAATGTCTGCCTCTTAAGTATTGAGTATCAGTTTTTCTAGATTATATCACATTTTGTTTAGAAAACAACAGACCTTTTTGAAAATGTAGTGGAATATGAGAGAGGGCGGGGGAGGGAGAGAAATAGAGATATCTATCATGGCTTTAAAGAAATTGTTTCCCTTTTAAAAGGAATTTATTAGTGTGAGTCAACTCCAGGGCTTTGCATTTACTCAGTTTGCATTTAAGTGCTTACTTAATTGTATGCACTTATTTAATTGAATGTCCTACATTCATTTTTGTTCGACTATAGTTGTGACATGTATTTTCTTTCTTTTAGGCTGAAGCTGAAGTTTTAATACATTAAAAAATAAAAGAATTGTGGACTTAGAGGTATGCTGATAAAATGTTATAAGTATAAAGGCTTAGCCCAGAACTCCAAATTTTCAGATTTAGTGTAATAGAGATGGACCTTTGTCTATGCCTATGTTTTAGTCAAATTGTAATCAATAAGTTAGGGTAACATAAACATTTTAACATAAGGAGAATTTGAGCTAATTTTCATTCCAATAGTCATTCTCCAAATATACCCTTTCACTTTGACTCTGGTGTTAAAAAGCATTTTCAAAAAAATAAAATAAAATAAAAAGCATTTTCAGTTTATTGTGAGAATTTTCTAAATAGCTTCTGCACAGATAGCCATATATTATCTTTCTGAATTATCATCCTATTTTTAACTTGAAAAAATGTTAATATGGTAAAATGAAAAACAAACAGCAATACAAATGCTAAAACAATGTAATCATGGTACAAACCCAATTCAAAATAATAAATGGACAGTACCAAAACTAAACAATATGTAATATTAGATTTCATGGCAATGTCTTCTTTTTCTTAATAAATGGAACAGAATAAAAAATAACACCAAATCAGAATGCTTACTTGGTTCATTTCCTTCTATCTTACAATCCATTACTTATACACCACAAATTCATTTTATGTACCATACACATGGACATTCAGTATGCTACATTGACACATAATAATTTAGCTGAATTGTAAAACATAATCATAATGTCACAAATATCAAAAATCCATTATTTCTAGTGATACATAGCATTTCATTCATAGTATATATTCACTACATTTGATTATGCTGAATGGACATTAAAGATGACTCCATATTTTTGGCGTCTGTGAATAATGTGTTAAGGAATATGGAAATTCAGTTGTTTCTGTTACATTCTGATGCCTTTTTAAGTATAAGGAAGATGTCAGATCCCACAGAATATTCATTTTAAAATTTTGAGGACACATACCCTTTTCTATATTGGATATACTAATTTATATTAAACCAAGAGTACATAAGGGTTTCCATTTCTTCCTTTCTATACTAGTATTTGATCATTATATTTTTCATAATAGCCATTCTAACGTATGGGGAGGTAATATCAGGTTTTAGTGGGATACATTTACTTCTTAAAACATTCTATGATTTCTCTGACTCAGTACAATAGACAATAGGCCCCCTGTGTATATTGGAAACTTGAAATGTAGGCAGTCCACATTTGAATGCTCTCTAAGAAAGATGCAAACACATATTTGAAAACAGAATGAAAAATAAGATTTATGATCACATAGATCACAAATAAATAAGTCATCTATTTCATGTGCTATTTATACTACTATGTACACCATTGAAAATTTCAGGTACCATTGGAGCTTGAGTATATTTAGATTAGGCAGCATATTTCTTTTTTTTTTTTTTTAGATTTTTTTTTAATTTTATTTTATTTTATTTGAGAACATACTGTACAGAGGGGTTACAATTACATGGGCAGGATAATGCATACATTTCTTACCAAGCATTGCAGCCTCCTCCTTTGTTTACCCTTCACCTCCCTTCCCAGCCTCCCCCCTCCCCCCACCCAATCATAACCCCCTTCACCCCCCCCACACCGACATTGTAAAGCTGGTTTTGACATGACATTTTGTACCTCTCATTGTTGCAACAGGTCCACCTGAATCCTTTTTTTTTTTTTTTTAATTTTTTTTTTATTTTATTTGAGAACATACTGTACAGAGGGGTTACAATTACATGGGCAGGATAATGCATACATTTCTTGCCAAGCATTGCAGCCTCCTCCTTTGTTTACCCTTCACCTCCCTTCCCAGCCTCCCCCCTCCCTCCCACCCAATCATACCCCCCCTCCGCCCCCCCCCCCCACCGACACTGTAAAGCTGGTTTTGACATGACATTTTGTACTTCTCATTGTTGCAACAGGTCCACCTGAATCCTTAAACGACTTGTTTGTCCCCGTCTCCTCCACATGTTATACTGACATCAAATATAGTGAAAGCGGGGGTTACACTGTGGGGGAGGGACATACAAAGCAACAAAGAAATAATCTTATAAATGCGTTAGAAACACATGCATGAAAGAAACAAAAACATTAAAATACATATTTGAGGGTTCGTTTTCCTAACATCACATTATCTGACTTTTTCCGCTTGACTCATACCTATACTAGATATTGCAAATAAGGGAAACCATGGGACCTATGTTTCTTTGGGTCTGGCTTACTTCACTTAATATAATTTTTTCCAAGCCTTTCCATTTCCTAACAAATGGGGAAATGTCATTCTTTCTGATGGAGGCATAGAATTCCATTGTGTATATATACCACATTTTCTTGATCCATTCATCTACTGAGGGGCATCTGGGTTGGTTCCATATCTTAGCTATGGTAAATAATGCTGCAATAAACATAGTTGTGCTGGTAGCTTTAGTGTGGTCTTTTTTGTAAACATTAGGGTAAATGCCCAAAAGTGGGATTGCTGGGTCATAGGGGAGTTCTATGTGAAGTCTTTTGAGGAACCTCCATACTGCTTTCCAAAGTGGTTGAACATAGGCAGCATATTTCAAGCTTTCCTCAGCTTGAAAAAGGACAATAGAGAGATTAACAGGGACAATCATTTTTTCGTAGAGAAGAAGATCCCAAACAGCCTTGTCATGGCCCCCAAGACTTCCTTATTCCTCAGGCTATAGATGATGGGGTTGAGCATGGGAGTGAGGATGGTGTAGAACACAGCCAGAATCTTATCCTCTGCGGGTGAACGAAGACTCCTAGGCCGAAGGTAAGTATAGACAAAAGGTGCATAGTAAAATGTCACCACTGTTAAATGTGTTGAACAGGTGGTGAAAGCTTTCTTTCTTCCCTCTTTTGAGCGCATACGAGAGACAGCAAAAAGGACCCGACCATAGGAAGCAGTGATCCCAAGGAAAGGAAAGAGGAGAAACAGGCTTGTGCTCACAAACACCATGTACTCGTAGACCCAGGTGTCCATACAGGCTAAAGGTAACATGGCTGGGACATCACAGAAGAAATGGTTGATGGCCCTCGACTTGCAGTAAGGAATGTGAAGGGCATAGACTGTGTGTGCCAAGGAATTGATGGAGCCTAGTATCCAAGATCCTATGATCATCTTCAAACACATAATTTTACTCATGCGGATGGGATAATGGAGCGGGTGGCAGATAGCCACATAGCGGTCATAGGCCATGGAGGCCAGCAGTAAGCCTTCAGAGCATGCCATAGTCAGGAAGAAAAAGCTTTGTACTCCACACCCCAGGAAAGAGATACTCTTTTGACCTGAGAGATAGTTGAATGCCATTTTAGGGACAGTGGTAGAGATATACATCAAGTCCATGAGGGAAAGTTGGCTGAGGAGAAAGTACATGGGAGTGTGGAGCCTGGAATCTACCCTGATGAGGTGTATCATTGCTGAGTTTCCAAACAAGGCTAGAAAGAACACGAAGATGAAAAGGAGCAAGAGAAGCAGTCCCGTTCGATTTGGAGGCAACAACCCCAACAGAATGAAATCACTTGAAGTTTGATTCCATTTCTCCATGAAATTTTCCTTGATCTTCCTCGAAAAATATACTAAAATGAAAAGAAATCATGTAGGAAACATAACAAGTCAATTAAAACAAGCTGACATTTTTAGTACCTGGCCTCTTATACTGTAGTGTAGCTTTCTAAAAATTTATTCGAATATTTGAACTCAATGCTCCCTTATCCCTTGTATCTGGTACCATCACAGCAAGTAGTCATTAAATATAAAAATTTGTTTGTTGCTTATAAAATACAATTTAAAAACAATTAAGATATGCATTCTATGCCTAGATAAATTCCTGGCCAAGCCCTTTTACTCATGATTGCCAAGTTTTATAATCTGAGTAAAACTGGGATATCCTTAATCCCCAAAGTATCCCTTTAACAGAAACTTAAAAGTGTGACCCTGTAACTTCTGTCTGCTTTATTTCTAAGTTTCCTGCAGCTTTTCCAGTTTCTACATTTTAATATTCTGGTTATCTCTTCATAAATAACCCTACTTTAGATAGAGAAACTAGACCTTCATTTTGATTCTTTAACTTTTATGTTCATAAAGACACTTCTTTGCCATTTTACATTTTTACAAATGTTCAATTAAAATTACTGCCATTGAGCTAAAGAGTTATTGTGTATCCTATAATATATATTATTATAATATATAATAACATTTGAATACCATTGTTGTTTGAATGCTTTCTCTCCTCCATTGACACATATTTGAAACAGAAATCAAAATTTATTATATACTCACATAGGTTATCATACACATTTTTGTCTTCTTTGTGGAAGTAAATTACACATATAAATATTACTGAGGTAATGAATTTTCCTTTGTGTTTCTCACATCGGTACAATTGTATGGCAATTGGATATTAGCATGATAAAGTATGATTAAAACATAAGAATTAACAATACCTATACTTATTCATATATATGCATATATATCACAAAGTTCCATACTTATAACACACATACACACACTGGAATCTTAGAATGACTTCTGTTCAGTCTTCTTCAAACAATTAAAATTCATATAATTTTTCCAGAACATAAAGTATATTCGTATTTTCATTGTAAAATAGTCTGCTCTTGGGAATAACTAATTTTCTCATACAAAATTAGAAACAGGTTTAAGTTTTAAGCCCATGAAGCTGCTACAGATTTCTACTCATTATTTTACATAATTGTTTAGTAATGCTCTATGTGTGTCTGTGTACCTATTACCTTTCTTCGGTTTCCCACTTCTCAGCAGGTCAGAAGCTGTAGGCATATGGTAATGGGAACAGGCGTATGTTGCTTCTTTTTGGCTTGGCAGATCAATTTCCTACTCATAGGCTGCAGCATGAAGCAGTTGTACAGCTGTCTAAGTAGGATGAAGCATGAGCAGTAGTGTACATGCTCACCTGTTTACAAACTTCTATAGATTTTACCATTTAAAATACACAAAACAAAAGATAGGGATCATGCAAAGTAAAAACTCAAATATGAGAAAGAAAGGAATAAATTGAAGTCCCTGTTAAATATTTTTCTGTATTTCCATTGTCTTTGTCTTGAAAATTTTATCTGTAATATGAAAATTTTGTTACCATTATATTCATCTGTGTCACCTGGATTCTGCAATTTATTTGTTCTTTTACTCATTGTTTCAAATCTGCATAACATTTTCACTTCATGTTTTCCATCACGCCTTCTCTTATTTTTGTATAAGTTTTCAAACTTTGTAAGTGTGAACTCTTCTGTAAGAAGCAAGTTCTGATGATATAACCTGCCTAAGACTCTCATTTGGGTGATGATATTGTATTCTTGATTTTCTAATTACATATAACAACACAAGTTTGTTGCTATTATTCACAACTAGTAATGTAAATTATGTGGTAATTTATATAAGTTTACTATACCTCTGTGTGGTCCCAAAAAGAGTTTATCACACATGATTAGGAATAAAGTTTTATAGTTATTTGTGTAATTAACATACTAAAATGAATAGTGCAGTCAGTATTACTTTTGAATATGGAATAAATATACAATAAACATTCTTGGGTCCTTAAATTTTGAAAATAATCTCATGACTTAGAAGGTAAATATAAAACAAAGCAATGATTAAATTTGTATGATATCATTACTTCAAAAGATATTTCAGGTTTTTTATTTAGTAGTGTCCTGCTGTACATGCTGACATGCACCAATCACGACAATAGACATAATTCTGAAATGTCGAATACAAATTAAGCACGTGATATGGACATTAGAATTATAATGGTATATATTCATTTTTTGTTGGTTAGGGATTTGTATGACATAGTAATATGATACAGAGGGAAGGACAGAGAAACAGATAGATTAGAGCCCTCCACCAGCCATGTTATGGAGATTTTTTTTCCATAAAAGGTCTGTTAATGAACACTCAATGAAAAGTAAGGGAAACGCATTGCATGAGAACTGTTATATTGATAGACACACTTGTGTAAGAAGAAACATAGATTGGAACTTCATTCTGTGTGAGATGAGATATTAGAGAGCAAGAATCTCCAGGCAAGTATCTCAAACTCTTACAGATATTCTGAGTGAGAAGAGAGTTGTAATTAAGAGTGTGCAGAAAATTCTAGTTAGTAGGAATAGCAACAGCTGGGACTGGACTGGGTTTAAAGTCAAAGTCCAGAAATCCCGGGAAGTATGGCACATCAGGAGGGTTTGTTACCTATCAGCAACAGGGAAGTAACTGACAACTCATTTGTTCTCTACTCCAGGACACAGTACCTATTATAAAGAAAATATTGGGTGGGGAGGGTGGGGGGGAGGATGGGAAGGGATGGGAAGGGAAAACAAAGGAGGCTACAATGCTTGATAAGAAATGTACTCATTATCTTGCCCATGTAACCGTAAGCCCTCTGTACAGTATTTTCACAATAAAAAATATAAATAATTAATAAAAAAAGAAAATTCTCAACCAATCTAACTATCAAAATCACTCCAATATTAGCCAAGATATGAAATGAGTGTTTTATTCATATTGACAAAAATGACAGAATAGTTCCCCAAATTAGTCTTTGGCATATATCTGGGAAATAAAGAGACAAGTCTCTGAGGGTACCTACTTCATCCCTTTGTTAATGTAGGTTTAAATTATAAGGAAGAAGCTTGGTTTTAAACATGACAGGAAGTCTGATACTAATTAAGTCTTGGCCAGACTGAGTTTGCTCTATATTGAGATCTTATATAGCCTCGTCATGTTGAGACCATATATTCATTTAGACTTGCTGATGCTCAAATTAGAGCTTATAACTTCAGAAAGATGATGTGAGAATAGTTACTGAAATGATTATTTTGATTCCTAAATCAAAACCTCACATATTTTCTGGCAGTGGATTAATAGTACTCCTTTCAGGATGCTATAGGTCTGGGACTTAGAGCCTTTAGGATCTGAGACACTGCTTTAACGCTTAAATACAGATACAGGTTGATTCATTGTAACAATGAGATGTACAAGACATTATGTTGAAAAACAAACCTTACAATTTAGGCAGGGGGTGGGAGTGGGGGTGGGGGTGGGGGTGTAGTTGTAGAGGTGGGAGGGAAGGGATGGTAGGGGAAAAACAAAGGAGGAGTAACAATGCTTGATAGGAAACGTACTCCTTACCTTGCTCATGTAACTGTAACCCCTCTGTACAGTATTTTTACAATAAAAATGTATTAAAATTAAAAAATTGGAAAAAAGACAGGATTACCCAATTGCAACAGTCATACTCACAAGACACTGTTGGAAATGAACTTTACAACTTGGAGGGGGGATCTGGGGAAAGGGATTAGGGGACGTAGGGGAGAGAAGGGATAGTAGAAGAAAAAGTAGGGGGTAATAATCCTGGACAAGAAATGTATCCAGTATCTTCCTCATGTAACTGTCACCCTTCTGCACAGCATCTTTACAATAAAAAAAAAGCTGAGGGTCAATTTCTTCATTGCCCAGAAATTTTCTTCATTGGGTAGAGGAAGCTCATACCCAGTTTTACATGGAAAAGCATGGCATTGATTTCAATACTGGTTACATTATTTTTTTTGGAGACATCATTTCTGTAAATTCAAAGTAAGTCTGAAGTGAACCTTTTTCTTGACCCTCTGAGAGACATGCTTCTAAACTGGTAGTTAACAAAACTTCATTTCTAAGGACCTGATTTATGTAAGTCCAGTAAGTAGAGTATTCTGAATTGATTTTTCAATGATAGTAAGTGTTACACATTTAAAGAAGGAGTATAGATAATTTTCACAACACTAATAAGCAAATTGTTATTCTGAACAGGTAAGGCGACCTCAGCACCGTAGCATGACTAGTAGCACAAATCTCCGTCAGCTTTCTCTATCCTGCACAAAGAAAGTCCTAAGAAACATCAGTTGGTTTTACATTGTTGGTTTTTAATTTTTTCCATATGTTCTGTATCTTAACCATTAAGAAACTTCTGTGCAGAGATATCCAGTAGAGAGTAGCACATTGTAGAATTCCGAAAATTTCACCTTATCTCTTTCTTCATTTTAAGTTTATCTTTAGCTTTAACAACTAATCATTGAACTGCACTTTTTCTTTTCAGACCTCCAGAATAATTACTCTTAGGAAAAAGCCCAAATGTATCAGCTCATTCATTTCATTTGAACTCACCTGGGATGAAGTTCTCAAATTTGTATTTGTCAAGGATTAGTTTTATAATCACAAAATTCTTGGCTTACAATATGAGGAAGCCTTTAAAGGGTTTAAATATCAGACTGTTGTCTTCTCTTGCAAGAGATGCAATAAGATCATGTCAATGATCAACACTAACTACATCAAAATTAAACTCTCATCTGCTATGAGAAAACACTGAAGAAAATTTCTCAAGGACAGGTTGTGATTTCATTGCTCATTGCTCTTGCTACTAGTCATTCTGTTTCTGTTGAATAAAAAACAACATTATCATTCTCCTAGATAACTGCAATATCGCTAAGTTAAAACATCTTCAGGTAGTATTTCTTATTTGAATAAAACATAAG